GACGATAACTCTCCGACCTCGCGGCTCGCGCCATGCTACTTCCATCGATAGGATGAGCAACATCCAATGAATCTTCGGCTAGAACATGGAAACATACACTACCTGGTTGAATCTTCGGATAGAACATGGAAATATACAGTACCTGGTTGAATATGGCCGACCGCGTCATGCTACTTCCCAACCCACCCCTGGCACGGCGCGAGAAAAAACGGTAGCGAAAAAAGAGCCTGTTCATAAGGTCGCGCCGACACCGACCGCCCACCGCCCCCCCCGTCACGACTGCGCCCGTCCCGGCTACCGGSCTCCCCAACCGTCGCGCCCTCCTAGGTCTCCTGCGGCACCGCGCGCGGACCTCCCTGCCCGAATTTCGCTGGGCCCAGCGGGAGCGTCACGCGCGGACCGCTTTTTCCTTTATATAAGGGATAAGAGATAAGAGAAGAGAATATGAAATCTAGTGGCGAGTAAGTGCAACCAGGCCTCGAGTTCGACACGATTCTCATATTTTTCACTCTCCACACATCCGCCACGAAATGTGACGGATGGCGAGTAGTGCAACTAGGCCCTCTCTCTCGAAAAGTGCAAAATGAGAATGAACTTCCGGCTAGAATATGGCCAGATGCAACCGCCACATTTTTGTCTTTTTCACATTTCGAGAGTGGTGTGGCGAGGCCCAAAGATGGAAGTTCATGGAACAACAGTAACACCTTTTTCATTTCATATAGTTCACCCCTTTCTTTTTTTTTTTTGCTATTATTAATTTATTATATCTTCTTCTCTTCATATGTTTAACGAAACTTTAACCTCTTTTTTCTCCCTATTTCTTCAATTATCCACTCCCTTTTTTCTTTTTTCTTTTTCCTGGCTTTCTCTTTCTCCCTCTCTTGTTTGCTTTCCTTAAGGCCCGTAACCCTTTTTCATCCCTCCTCTCACCTTCGTTGCGACTATTACTTTATCCCTTGGTTTTGTCTTCATCCAACGCCCAAGAATCTCCTCCGACGAGCCGACCGTCTCTTCTGTTGCTCGGATCGGATACACTTCCGCAGAGTCGAAAAAGTTTATTCCCAAATCAAAAGCCATTTCCATCAGTTCCGTCGCTGTCTTCTCTTCTGTTTGAGTGACATACATCATCGTTCCCATGCAGGCCTGCAGCAACAAGGCAGTAGTAGAGCGGGCAAAACGAAACGTTAAGGCTTAAAACTTAAAACTTAAAACTTAAAAGTCAAATTAGTCAACACTTTTTTGTTTAAATTGTTTTTCACTGTTTTCCAATTTCAACCTCCACCACAACCACCACTCACCCAATTTCATTGTAGCGCGAGTTAACGTGGCATCATATAGTCGACTGCCTGCGGCGGGCCATGTACGTGAAAAGCTCGGCCTCCACGTACTAACGGGGCTGCGAACTTAGGGGGAGAGGGAAGGGGGGGGGGGGGGGGGGGGGGGG